TTAGATTAATTTAGATTTTTTGTAATAAAGTTTCTACTATGGTATTATATTAATAAAAAAAAAAAAAAAAAAAAAAAAACTATCAACTTCCTATAATATATACTCCTGATCAAGACAAGAAACCTTTCTGCTTAAAAATATACATCTTAATGTTTAGATTTGTCTGGATTTATTAGGAGATTTGTAATTTCTATGTATGTTTAGTATTCATTTATTAACTTCTGATAGATTGTAGTTTTTTTTATTAATACTAGTGAGAAATTAATTGTTGGTTTCTCAATGATAGCTTGCAGTGAGTTAGGACTAACATTAATTTTACAGTTTTGAATTGGGTGTTATATCATGAGATTTATTTATATCACATGCTGGGATATTACTATTTGCACACTTTTGGAAGCAATTGGATTACAATATGCAATTAAGCGGTAGCAAAAGCAAAATGAAATTATGATAAATTTATTAATTTTGAAAATTATTGATTATTTTTTTGGTTAGCTTAAAAAACACATCTATTGCTTTATATTTAATAATATATCATTGTTAGTTATTTGCAATATTATTTAATTTTGTTGAAATACACATATATCATTTCTATATTGAAAATTTGAATTAAATAATTATAATTCAAAAAATAATTAAAAGATTTTTATATTTTAATTGAAATAATAATATAACTTACATAACTTATGATCAAAGAACTAGCAGAATAGTCAAATTTATAAACTCACTATTTATATATTAAAAACTAAATTGAGTTAACTTTAAAAATATTAGCCAATACTCAATTCAATTAAAATTTAATTGGTAACTGCAGCTTTTTGAAAGTATTGTCTAAAATTCTTAAACTGTATTAGGTTTTTTTAGTAGTAACCAGAGGGTTAACTATTAAGTATCAAAATAAAATAATTTGGCTTTAATTAGTTTTGTGCTCAGATGAAAAAAAAAATAAATTTTACTCTTTTTAAACAATGCAGTAAATCAGCATGTCTTTATATTCTTCAATGATTTTTTATCTACAATCTCAGATAAGCTTTTATATTCATTATTAATAACAGTTCACATATTTAACTTATTGATTAATATTTTTTAATTATTTATTTAACAGAATTACAATTAGTTAAAAGAAGGGTATATTGTCTTAAATTTTTATTTAATTACTAGTAAACTCAAAATTATAATTTCCTGTTAAAAATGAATCCCCGAGAAGAAACAATTATAATTTTACAAAAAGATATTAATAAAAATCAAGAAAAAATTGACGAACTTGTAAAAACATTTAACAAAGCTTTTTATAAAAATAAAATCAAACCTTATCTGCAAGAGCATGAAGCTTACCAAAAACAATCATTAACTGATACATTACAAGGTACTAATACAAGTTCAGAAAATTTAACAAGTCTTAACAAAAAGTTACAAACTTCGTTGCTGAACTCAAGAAGAAATACAATACAAATGGATTTAATAAATTTATTTTGTTAAGGGTGTGCAAGGATAAAATCATATTTAACAAAATTTGGAAAAATATAATTAGTAAAGAGGGCTTTAAGTTTGTCTGGGATTCTTCTAAAGAATACTTTTTATTCTTTAAAAATTCCCAAAGCAATGTGTTTAAATGTTTGGGTAAAAGTTTATTTGAGTATAAAGAAATAATATCATTTTTTACCAACTGAGAGTATTATTTTTTGGATCTATTTGCCTTTTCTAGTGTTAATTTCGAGTCTACGAACAACATCATTAATTTGTTTAATAATTGGTTAGTATTTGCAAAAGAAAATGATATTCTTAAAACCTTTGAATTATATAGAAAAACCCAAGATATCTTGGTTCTCTGCAAAAGTATTTTGAATACTGTGCCAGAGTTAGAAGATTATAAATATGAACAAGATTAAATTACAATATTAATTCATTTGCTAAGTGTCAATACAAATTTTTTCAATTGCCAGTATTTAAAAAAAATTTATAAATTAAGTTATAACTAAGTATTTTTTATTAATTTTTCTAATCTGGAAATTCCTAAAATAATCATTTTAATTTAAATTTGTTCAAAAAGAAACTTAATTCAATTCGATAATATTATTCTTGTTAAAAATCCTTAGGTTGCATTTTTTAGGCTGGAAATTATAAAACTTAGCATTTTTTAAATGATATCCAATTCAGCAATTCATTCCTTCTTTAAAAAAAAAAGAAAAAAAAATTAGCTAGTAATAGTTTAAATCTCATTCAAAATAAAAAAATAACGCATTCGTTAAAAAAAAAAATCAATACACGTGAGTTAGGGAAAAGTGATATCAAAGGTTATATTTTTGAAATTACATATTTATTAAAATCAAAAAGAGTAACTTCAAACCTTTTGTCATAGATGACAAAATGTTTAAAGTTACTCTTGATTTTAATAAATATATAATATCAAAAATGTAACTTTTGCACAGTGCATAGAAAGATAATCGAAGATTCAAATATTTTAGAGTATTGTTTTTACAAAGTGTATCTGCTAATTCTTTTTCTTCATCTGATCCAAGTTTATTATTTTTAAGATCCAAAGAAGTTAATATCTTTTCAAGTACCTTAATTAATTCATTTAGATTTAAGTTTGCTAGTAAGATCCCAGCTTGAAGCATTTTTTTTATCTTCATTATTATACAAGCTGTTATTAAGAATTTCTTGATGATATGTTAATGCATTGAGAGGCTTTGGTTTATTGTATTAGGTTTAGATGAATTTGAATTTATATCTTTTGACTTAACTAATCCAGAGATGATAATCCTTTTTTTTTTTTTTTAGAAAAGTGAACTATTTCATCTTATCTATATTTTTTTTTTTAGCTTTTTTAACCATTGTATGAAATAGGGACCTCATAATACCAATATGGTATTATTTTAATAATATATTTACTCGTAAATAATTTTTTATTGCATTTAATTAAGGCAATCTTTTAATTATTATTATTTAATCCAATTTTGCTTTTTCTAATTTAATTTAATTTAAATTTGATACAAATTTAAATTAGAATTCAATATGAAAGAAAATTGAATTGTACAAAATACAGATAGATTTTCAATTAAGAAGTAATTAAACCAATAATACAGAAAGAATTAACTAATTTTTCAATTAATGTGAAATATCTATAAGATGTTATAAAATAAAATAGTTTGCCATAGATGAAAATATTGAATTTAAAATTATAATAAGAAGATTAATTACTCTATTAGATTAAAATTAAACAGTTGGGTTGTGGTGACTTAGTGAAGTGGTAAAGTTGTTGCATCCCCAAGCTAGCTTGACTAAAGGTTTAGAGTTCGAATCCCACTGGTGACGTTTCAGACAAAAACCCTTTGTATTACTGTAACAGATCTTCATTAATAAGTTGGGTTCTATTACCTGTAACTTCAGTTGTACTAATGTAGATTATACACTGAAGATTCTAGAAGCATTTGTGTAACAGTTAAGTTATACAAAGAAATGCAAACCAGTATAGGCAGTGCAAACCCATGATAAAACTTTCAGAATCATATAAAACTGATAGAGAGGACTTGAAGATCCAAAACTAGCTTGGCAAAACCTGAGTAAGGAAGTAGTAAGGATACAATGGTGCCACAAAACCAACTTGGACTGAACCAAAGAATTGGAGAATCTGGACGAACTCAACCCTTCTAGGTTCGGGGTTGCATCAACCTGGCCACCGGAGTCGCACCGGAGAAAAAGGACATGTGCTCTGGAAGCGTGTATTAAGCGAAGGGAGACTATAAGGCATCTAAAGCCTAAGCAGACCAACTCTACCAGGCTAACTAGTTTGGAAGTTTGGTGAAACCAAGGAAGCAGCTAAGAAAAAGGGAAGTGAAGCAAGTATCCGGGTCCAAAAATAGCGAACTAAACAAGGGCAAAAGTAGTTAAGAGGTCAGATGACTTTAACTGCAAGTAAAAGCCTCGGCAACTGTGGAAAAAGTTAATTGTAAGTGGGTACACAAACCTTAATTTAAAAAAGGCTGATGGTCGTATACTATCCATGCAGAATTTAGATCCAGGGTAAATTGTGAAACTAGAGATACTTTAGACTATCGAATAAGGTAGTTTTTAGATATAGATAGTAATCATATACTCTAATCTCTGAATACATGTTTAGATTAGTAATAGTGTATTCTGTAAATATACAGTTGTATCCAAAAATATTAATAATAATAAAGTACAATATGAGATGTGATCTTGTCTAAAAAAAAAAAAAAAAAAAAAAAAATTAAACAGTTTCGAATCAAAAATTTATATATATTTGATAATATTAGAAAGGATATTATTGAACCTTCTGATGCTAAAAAAAATATTATAATAATAAAAAAGTAATAAGTTTTTAAATGACAAAAAATTTCATAGCTCCTTTGGTAACTAAACACCTTAATAATCTTTTCAATATCAAAAACCTTAACAATAAAGATGCCAGAAAATTATATAATGCTTGTCAACTTAGTTATGATTCAATTAAATCTGCAAATGCTAATGATAAATATTGCTTATTATAATATCTTAAATGGACTTTCAAGAGTTCAAGATGAGGAAGCTTTATCTAAATCAAAATACATATATGTATTAATTCTATATCATGATCATGGCTCACTTAAAAAAGACCTTGCAAAGTCCAAAAAATTATTTATAGAAATTTTAAATGGAAAATATTATAAATCTGAATCAGAACTTGGCCTAGCTTTTAATTATCTTAACGAAAAAAATTATAATGAATTTAGAAAATATATCATACAAGCTATGTCAGATAATGGAAATTTTGTTGCAAAATATAATCTCAGAAAAGCGTATTATTTAGATAAATATGGGTTTAATAAGGATAAAAGTAAAGAATTAGAACTTATCAAAATAGCAGCAAAAGCTAATAATAAAAATGCAAAACAGTTTTGCTCTGATAATGGAATTAAATATTAATTTTAAAAATCTCTTCTATACCATTTTTATTTTATATTTTTCTTTCTTTTTTACTAGTTTTCTAGTGTTTAGTTTATATGGTAATTTAACAAAGAAAAGCAAATTTGATATTAATTTGCTCTAAAAATTATTTTCTAGTTCTTTTAAGCTTTTTTCAATAATCTTATAATTAACATTGGCTAATTGGTATTTTTCTTTAATACTTTTAATAAATTCTTCCTATTTATTTGTTAGCATAACCTTTAATTTGTTTAGATCTATTTTTTTACTCTTAGAAATTATGTTCCACCCTAAATACACTACAAGAATGAAAAAACATCATGCTGCAATTATTTCATCTCTGATTCTTAATTCCTTTCTTACATCTAATGCTTCTGCTGTTATAATCTTATAAACTCGTGCTTTAACTATTTCATCTTTTACAAATAAACTGTTCCATTTATTTGCATTAGGGTTTTGTTTCCATCTACCTGTTTCTTGATCTATCTCCTCAATAAATCTAGAAATTGAAAACTTATTCTCTTTCTTTAGTTCTTTTACCTTTTTTGTTAATTTATATGAAATTTGTGCTAATTTACAAAGTAAATAAATATATTAAACCCTTGAATTATTATAATTATTTTCAATATAAAAAATTTTTCTGCAGACATTTCTGATTTAACATCTTATGTCAATCTCCTTTTCAAAATTAACATTATTATTTGTAAGCAAAAAAAAATCCTCAAATTCTTTTTGAATTTTTTTAAAAATTTTATTTATTGGCTCATCACTATTCATTATTGGTTTTGGATTGCCTTCAATTTGAATATCGAAATATTTTTTAGTTTTGTCCTATTATATATATTTATTTGTTTAGAAATAAAATATTTTTTATTTTATATTAGGATTTTTTTGAATTCCTTACTTGTGAAGGCTTTATATTTGAATATATTTCCCAATTATCGTCAGAATTGTCAGTCTATATAGATAATTTCTTTTTAATTTTGATAATATTAATAAAATTAATAATTCATATAAAAAGTTATTACCTGAATAAGAAAATCTTCTATTTCATTCTTTTCATAAATAATTATTGTTTTGTTTAGATCAAATTTATGCAAAATTCAAAT